ACTCAAGCTAATGCCACCACGAAGCTCTTATGGCTAAATTCTCTTCTCTCCAATCTAGGGGTCAAAATCTAATCACCACCGGTTCTATATTATGATAATATTGGGGCCACATATCTTGCAGCTCATCCCAATTTTCTGTGCTCATACTAAACCTATTGAGGTCAATTTTCATTTCCTTCGAGATCTTATTGTTAAAAAGTCTCCGATCATGTAGTTCCTTCCCACACAAGATTAACTTGCTGATGTTTTCACTAAGCCACCCTCCTCTCACCAGTTCGCGTGGCTTCGGTCCAAGTTTCGAGTGCTTCTAGCCCACTTTCGCTTAAGGGGGCGTATTGAGGAGTTGACCAACCCTAGCTCTTCTCTTACCATAGAGAGCTCTAGAACTCTTACCAAAGAGAGCTAGATCTCCTATCAAAGAAGATTCTAGTCTTCTTGCTAAAAAAGGATCAGTTACTATACAAAAGATTCTTATTATAGAGAGATCAATCAAAGCAAAAAGGAAACTCTCCTCTTAGGAAGTTTCCTATTAATGCTCCTTTCCTTATATTTTTGTTTCTATACTTATAATTGCTTCTAATTTATTTTTTATTATTCTTGTATATATATTCAGTCTTGTACAATCATTCAATTAGTGAAATTTGACCCATTCTTGGAAGTTATTTATTACTTTAACTCAATCGCCCTCCTGAAAAACTACACCACCTGATGAAGGGAAATTTGGCCCGACCTCGCGATCGCCCGACACGTGGCAAAGGCAAGCAGCTCGGGACAGTAGAGCGCCCAAAGCGAACATCGGAAGCAAGTCCAAGCTCACTACCGAGCCCGAACTCCAGACCGCTGTACTTAGTCCGAGCTCCTTGTTAAGAGCGAGCTCCCTGTTAAAGGTCCGAGCTCCCTAAGAACCTGAGCTCCTTACTAGGAGCCCGAGCTCCCTGTTAAGGGTCCGAGCTCCCTAAGAACCCGAGCTCCCTAAGTCCAAGCTCCCTACTAGGAACCCGAGCTCCCTGTTAAGAGCGAGCTCCCTATTAAGGGTCCGAGCTCCCTGTTAAGAGCGAGCTCCCTAAGAACCCGAGCTCCCTAGAATCCGAGCTCCCTATTAAGAACAAGCTCCCTACTGGGAGTC